TATGTTCAAAATGTTATACCATATATACTTTTGTTCTCCAACACACAACTTCGCACCGCCACGCCTTCTCCACAATAGTCTTGACAACATCCGGGGGGAAATGGAGTTACGAGAAAGACTTAAACTCGTCCTGCTAGGAACACCGGGTGGCGCCATTACTTGTGTAGTTCCATAAGTTGCGTACCCCTCTGAGACGCTGAACAATGAATTCTGGAAAGCATGTCGGCTGCTTTATTCCCGCTTCCCGGTCTATACATTATATCGAACCGCTAACTTGATGGTTCCAAACACCAATGCATGATTTCGTCATCCCTACTTTTTCCCTTGTCTTTGTCACCGTACATAAAGGTCACTGATCGCTGGTCCGCCACCGGCCGTAAATGAATTGCTATGGAGGAAATGGTGCCATTTTCACACTGCTTCGACTAAAGCGCCGCCTCTTTTTTGTCGATCGAGTGGTGGTTTTCGCTGCGGGATAACGTTCGGCAGAAGAATGCTACTGGTCTGCCATTTTGATTCAAGGTAGAGGCGATTGCGAGATTAGAGGCATCCGTTACGATTAGCAATGGTACAGCGGATGTGCTAGCCACAACTGTAGAGCGCTCCAATTCTTCTTTTCGAAACAGTTTAATACCGATTCAGGCAGCGGAATGGTTACATTTGGAAACAATGTACAGATGTTATCGGAAAATTTCGAACTCCATTTCGAATAATGGACAAATATCCCCACTAGGCGCTGTTGTGATTTGGAATCATGAGGTGGCATCAACTCGGTTTGAGGTCGAAGTCCCTCCAAGTCAGGTTTGATAACACCCTTGTATATATATTCCATAGCCTAGCAGGGGGTTTTATTAACGGCAAGAATGCTTTTCGTATCATTAAAGTAATATCGCGATTTTTGACTACCGTCAGAAAGAGTTTACAATTGTCGTCATGTTCCTGCTTGCTTCTACCACACACTGTAACGTTTCTGAACGTTGTCGATAGCTCATTGAGAGTATGCGACTTAGCTGGTAACTGACGGGAATGCGGGAAAATCCATAGCCTTTTCCACCGGCTTCAAACGTATTGTATTTGCGTCCTCCCTCGTTAATTGCTATTTGCTGATCAGCACTGTTCAAAGCTAGTGGACAGCAAAACGGACGATTTTATCGGTCATCGATTTTTGGAAGCGAGTAGGCATCAAGATAGGTAAATCGATCTATGGTTTGGCTGTAATCCACAACCCTGATTTTTTATGTCCATTCGTGGATACTAACGCTTGAGCATGCCACGGCGACCTCGAAAGCTGTACAATGCCATCTGGCGGAAATCTCTTGATTTCAGGTTGAATGAAACTTTCATCGGTTTCACAATGACTTTGGATTTTGTAACAATCGGCTGGCAATTTGGAGCATGATGGTCAAGCATAGGGCGCGGTTCAACGCGAGCCGCAATTAAGCCACAAATAGTAAAAGCAGTTCTGGATCCATGAAATGATATCTCAATTTAACCATCCTATTTAAGGAACTTTTGACCAAGTAATACATCAAAGCACATGTTCCATAAAACAGATAGTTTCACATTACAGGTTTCTAATTTTACGAAAAATATGTCCTTGCGCGGAACTAGAATGACTGGTGGAGGCCATAACGATGTGTTTGCAAGAGGTTTCGATGGGAAATTTGTTAGGCTTTACAACCGAAACGGAAATGTCGCTTTCAGAGCTCACAGTATCGACAAAGGCTTGAAGCGGTGTAACATCACTGCAAAGGTCGGCCGGTGGCCGAGTATTCTGCACCTTTGGTTTGCAGCCATAAAGTCGCCGGTTCGAATCCGCGTAGGAGTGGGCATCCTCGCGGTATACACAGCCCGCGCCCGACTGGTAGTGGTCGCGCAGCAGCGAAGCGCCGTTACCGCGTGCAACTGACACATTATTATTATTATTATTATTATTATTATTATTATTATTTCACTGCAAAGGTGGCGGTGTGCAGCAGCAGATGTCACAGTAGATAAAACGGACACAGAAACGTTTGAGCCGGGATTTGAATTTGACCTAGATTTACAAACCTTTTGGAAATGGTTTTTTTGCATCTCGCATTTCTGGCGGGACATCAAGGATCCAGTATATCTAACGTAGCAGCAAAAGCAACCCGTTGACTGAGAGGACGCGAAGAGAGGTTTTACTGGTAAAGATAGCTGTGGCTCAGCTAATGAAATTCAGTTTTCATCCTGGGGTTGCAACCCGTTATATGAAAGGAGGCAGCTTGTTTTTGGGCCAAGTCTAGCAATCTAGCCATTTCAAAAGTGGACTGAGGATCGGACGATTTTTGTTCCAATAATCTCTGCTTGAAGTGGTTAGATTGTAGACCGCTGATGACCCTCTCCCTGATAGCTTGATTCTTTTGTTTGTCGGCAGTGACTGGCGAAACATTACAATCAATAGCAACAGAATTTGATTTTTGAATGAATTGATCTAATGATTCGCCGTTTTCTTACCTACCAGTGGCTAGCGTGCAGAGATTTCGTTTTTGGGTTTTACGTAGATATCCCGTAGCGTTTTGACGGTATCCTCTCGAGCAAAGCACACAACAACCACCTAAACAGGGCAGATGAGAAATAATTTAGTGTTTTGAGATTGTTTGACTTCCTGGACTCTACTGATTCTACGAAATTGTTGAAAGTATAGATTCTATGGGACCAGAGTTTTCCGGCATCAGAAGATTGAGGGTCCAGGTTCAAGCGATCTGAGTGTAAGATTCGATCCATAAGATTGTTCCATTAATCGAGTATAGTGTAATGAACACGGATTATTTCAGAAATGAAGCATGAAGGCAAAGGCTGGTTAGGAGACTTTACTCGATTAATAATTCGGACCTGTGAGCTGTAAAAACAGAAACAAACATTAGAGCGCACAATATGTCAATGCATAGAATACGACAAAATTAAAAATACATAACCTTGGTGGCTAAAAATTGACCCACCGGTTGTCTATGGACAATTTGGATTTAAAACAGTTAGTCCCCTTCAGTGGTTTGAACAACGAAATGAGTAGACGAATATTAGCAGATGCTAGCATTTTGTATTATCTCATCAGTACCAATACAATAACAGGGAAATCCTTTCATATGTCTTACAGAGCACAGTCAAGTCAATCAAATTTATGCTTGTGGTCATTGTTGTTGGGATTAGGTCCACGGCAACCGCAGGTTGTTTGGATAACGGGAATTTTCTTAAATATTACGTAAAGAATGCTTTCGACACTTGCTGGGAGCCCGTCATGAGACTTAAGTACCGCAAACGGATTTCTGAGGCACCGATTCGTTTAATCGAAACACGTAAACAGGTTTGTTGAGTACTCAGTCTCTGCATATTCCTAACTCCGTGAAACGATGACTGTCAAGGAGTCTTGTTATTGACCAAAGCGTTGCAGGTGACAGGGACTCTGCTAGCGAGTGCTGCTAGAAGCAATCGAGTACTGTTACAACTCCTCCGGAAAAGGAGACTCTATCTGACATGGCGCAGTCGCATGGTTAGTGACAATGTCGGATGCGATTTGCTGCATTTAGCTGTTTATAATCCACCCAGATTACATTCATTTCCTATTTAGTTCTTTTGGTGTGTTTTGTCTGCGTTCTATTTTATTTTCCCAATATCGATATTAATTGTTATCCCGGTGACGCTATTCCTGGCCCTTGAATACACCGTACTTCGATGCTCGGATGGTATTTGCCTAGGTGAACTGAATTTAGGCACTATTATCTGGGTTGTAGTGCCGCTGCGCATTAAACATCCGTATATTGGTTGTGTCTGCATTATGGGGCCTTAAGCGTATTGCTCTTACCTGACGGAGGCGTTGGTTGAGTATCAGAAAGGTTGATGTTTGACCTCAAGCTCTGTTGCTTCAATGAAACCTCTATTGAACTCAAACCGTCTGCGCTGGTTTAGTCGCATTTTTTGTACACTTCTTGGTTGGTGGGAAAGTATCTTTATCCATCCTCTACCTTAATGGGTGAACCTCGGTGGTTGTCACTCGATAGCATGATCGGAAACCGTAATAAAACTCTAAAACTTTGGGTAGGTTTGATGATTGTCGTTCTGATGGATGAGGGCTTTGCTATCTTCCACACTAGTGGATAGATTTCTCCTTAGCATTCGGTCGCCCACCTTTCGATTTTCGCTTATTTTTCCGCTTGTTCCAAATTATTGCACATTTTCTGCTAAATTTATATTCCTCTTTGGTTCGCTACACTTAAATGGTTTGATCGTATTTGTTCAATTTAACTGAACATCCTTAACTCCTCCTTGTTTTCTGTTTGCCTTTTCTCTCCATCCTTGTTTATTGTTACCTTGATGATGCATGCATGGCAGCTCGATCCATCCCATTTCAGTGATCGAATCATACCCCAGTATCGTTCTCGTCTCATCGGCTAGTAAAATACGCGATTTCTTTAAAAATGATTGTACAGATATCGCTTGTGTTTATTAGTCTTGCGGACTGTCACCTCCGTAGAACACCAACTCTCCCCACCGCTTATTACGCTTAAGTCATCCTCGAGAATACTTTGAGACGTACACCTCTCAGTTACCATCAACCGTCCCCGTTTCCCGTTTTGCCAACCGCACTCGGACTCTGATTTTCCTTTCTATTTTTTTTTGACCGCACCTAATGCTTGTCTTGCTCTGTCAACCAATGCTCTATGCACTCAGATACAGCGGCCAAAACAATAGCTTCCGTTACACCGCAGATTTTGAATTACTTGTTTTCGCATGCATCGCATTTCAACATAGATCGCTTGACTCTTGTCCCCGTACGTACTTTTTCGTACACACGACCTTACATTGCACTTTCCACCCATGCTTCCGTAATGATCCATGCATACGTAACACAGGTAGCGATTGATCTGCGGCACTTGCCTACATTGTCACATATCAACTGTCAGTTCTAGCCCTTTGCTGATTCACTCGTGTTCACTCTCTCATTGACCGTCACTCTCAGGATTCGCTTTTGCTTTTCAGCTCTGATGAATTTTTCATGTTCCATCGATCGCTTGCGTTGTCAACCGTGTTTGGGTTGTCTACTGTCCGTGAACTGCATCATGTGATAGCTTCGCTGTCGTCAATTCATCTACTTATTTATCTGCTCCAATCCATAAGCCGATTTAGTATCATTATGGTGACAGCAGCAGAATCCCGCGCGGTCGGTGTCTCTCAATTTGGTCGTCGCGGTTGGTGTCCTTGGTCCGAATGGAGCCGCTGTGCAATCGTTCCCTGTTTGAACGAGATTCGCTTCAGTGCCACACGTCTGTCTGATGATCTTGCCTCTCCTGATTCCTCTCTCTGTCTCATAACTCCCAGTGCCAGATCCAAAGGAGTTATTCCGACTGCAGTCGTTCAGTCATCCCAAGGTGGTGTGGTTCACACTATCACGCCGTTCAGACGTCGAACCCGAGAGTGTGCGTGCCGGCTTCCACCTTTAACTTCACTCATAAATTTTTTCAAGCCAGGAGGACAGTGTTTACGTAAGTCTTTTCTACCATCTGTCCTTAATTTTCCACTTTTTGCACGGTTTAGTTAAACTCCATGTATGCTGTTACCCGGCTTGTCATGTGTGTTACTCATGCCCGTTTTATAAACCGTTTGCTATGGATCGATTTCTTTTTTCCTAACACGGCACGATCTCGATCTATTACCGTATCCTACACAGCCATTTACCACTTAGACGTATCGTTTTAGTCGTCGCTGTGGACTCATGATGTCTCAAGGTTTAATCCACATTACAGAATACCGACGCATTCGTTTATCAGAAATCAGTTCCGGATGAAGAATTCTTTTCGGTAACTCTCATCGGACTCAGACGTTTACAAAACACTGATACTGTTGGGTAAGCGTCAACTCGGACTGGGATTTACTTCTGGACTGTTTGAATGATCAAAATCGATAACTTGAGACATAGATAGCGATGTCTCAAGTTATCGATTTTGATCATTCAAACAGTCCAGAAGTAAATCCCAGCCCGAGTTGACGCTTACCCCACAGTATTGTTTTGTAAACGTTTGGGTCCGATGAGAGTTACCGAAAAGAATTCTTCACCCGGAACTGATTTCTGATATTGTTTCATATTAATGGAATGGGAATCTTTGCTTTGCTGAAGACCAGCATTGCCCGTGATTCATTGAAACTCTTGAATGAGCATTCGTTTATTACTAACCAACACCTTTACAGTTCGGTGTGTGGTATGCTTTCACTGCTCGTTGGATGCAGCCGGAGACTATCCGTGTCTAGTTACAGATGACTACGAAGCACTGTTCTTCCCTGGTAGTGAAGCCGAATGAATGGTACTAAAATTCGCTGGCTGGTGTTTAGTAACGGCTTTATATTATGGCACTGAGCTAACTGTTAGACTCGGACATTTTACACTGTCCAGATAATACTCTTCACTTTTCTGCTGACTGCTTACCTTGGTGTCTGGATGAAGTCTCACGCAACAACATACATGCAACTGATATAAAGACCAGTGATGGTGGGGCGCATCATATTTTTGGTAAGAGGTCTCAACGTCCGTAACACAACCATTGAGTTAGTGATACTCTTGCACTCGACCCTTTACTCCAATTTGTCGTCTCATCCGCCCATGTTTGGAGATTATCTGCATGTTTGCCATTCTTCGTGTTAATTTTAGTGACATAAGTAAAAGCTATTGGATCCATCACGATTCTATGCCAGGGCCGTGGTCGATTTCACGAACAATACCCTATCTTTCGGGGCATTGCAGTTGTTTTTGGACTTTCGCTTTGGATTTATCCTCTCTTTCTGGCGCGAAATGCACATAGATTTGAGCACGTTCCAGTCAATGACTGCCCTGCATGAAATAAGGCCACAGACCAATTGGTTACTCCTGCTTCTTGATCTGCACTCCTCAGTGATTATATTCGGTGTATCACCCCATCGGATACCCGTAAATCAACAAATCCTGACACATTCTAATATTAATAGTGCCCTGGTGTATTTCCTGAACGCGATGAGTCTAACTTTCGATGTTTTTGCCTCCTGGCCATTCGCTTTGCACCATTTTGAATGCTCACTTATAAGCTTACAGGAGGGCCACATACCAAGGTGTAAGCCTGATTAATTCCCGCCCTGACATGGGATATATGGACCATCTGATCACCATTCCTTAGCCGCTCTGGCTTCTTTCTTCGTCTCTAATTGACAGCTACTTTTACTCTTTTTTGAACCAGTTTTAGCATATATGACTGATTGTTCTTAGCCCTCTTTGCTAAAAGGTGTATCAACAAGAACATTTACATTCATATATCCCCTTTCTCTAACTTCATAGACCAACCTGCAACATATAGCTAAAGTTCACACATTCACCGACAAGTAAAGTGCCTTTTGCCGTGCTATATCTTCTATTTTGTTTCCTCCTATATTTGAGTAGAAGATCCACCTGCTTAGCCGCCTAATGGTTCCACAAAATGCTACGCATTCTTAGTATGTTCATTTTAAACCTTTGATCTCGCTTATCGGTGGCTAACTTACTCTTTCCAAAGCGCTCTCCAACTTCCATCTATTGCATGACAACAATCTTTATATTTTTGAACCTTGGAGGCGAGAACTAGGGGCAATTGCTTCTTTTTGTATTTTGATAACTGCATTGTTAACGACAAACCTGTGACTACCAAAAGTTGCATGATATATCTCCAAACCGGAGGGCGCTTCAAGTTATCTTCATGGCACATGTATCGCTAAAGTGGCATTTTTCTTTGTCATGTATACAAAGCAGTACGCACCGTTCTTCTCTGCATCACAACTTTTGTTTGGAAACTTTTAGGTGTCTTCATTTTTTGGACATCGTTGATTACGAGGCACTTCTCGTATCTGATAGCCCTAGCTTGTCCATATCGGTATGATGATAGTGGTCGTTTGTTTGTTCATCAAATAAGACTGATTAAACTGCATTGTTTCTGGCACTTGCTTAGAATACTCTTTCCCGTGGAACTGCATCGTTTACTTGCTGTTTTTGAATGGTGCGGGATTCGACCAGGGCAATCGTTGACTAGCAGCGGGAGGTGAGTCCCAAATCAGCAGCTTGACGCAAGTGCTTTGTCCCATCTTACAGACCGACTCCAAAGTGCTCACTTTGCGTTTGGCCGGAGAGGTTGCATGACATTACGCACATCTTGCGCCAGTTTAGGGCAATTGTATCGTATAGCTAGGTACAATGGGAACACTCATCATTATCATCATCATCATCATCAACAGCAGTACATCAGCCATTTGAACTGATGCTTCGCTGCCATACAACCACAAGGACCTATGAAATAAAGAATAAGAAGAGGGAGAGAAGGGGGACTTACCTGAAAACCTTAATGCCCTAAGCAAACATTCTGGGTCAAGGCGCCTACACCTTGTGTAGACAACATACCGTCACAAACAGCTGGCTATTGTGCAAAGGCGGCATCGGCGAGACAGCCTGCTTGCGGCTTTCACTGCACCGCGTCATAATCAGCCATTACCCCGCAGATAACTCAGCACCAAACATACTTTAAACAGGCAATCCGATTAGGAGACGGCAGCAGACGCGCCCCTGGTGTCGGTCTCGAGCCAAGCGAAAGGTGAGTCACGTGGACTCCAACCCGGAAGGCGAGACGGACCAACGGCACCCAGTTTGGTCGTCAGTGACTTCATTTCCCGCTGCCAAGTTAACTTCTCTCCACCTCGTGCCTTGCGCCACCCTACACCTGGTAGACTGAGCAAGGCCCTCCTAGGTAAGCGGTGACCAGGCATGCGTAGCACGTGCCCGAGCCAACGTAACTTATTCAGTGCTATCTGTTGTTCTAGGGAGCTAGCATGATTATCATTACCTAGTACTCGCCTACGCATATCATCATTGCGGATACGCTGGTGCCATCCGACACCAGCAGTGCTTCGCGAACAACGATGATCAAAGACTTGAAGGCGCCTCAGATCTTCAGACCGAAGGGGTCAAGTCTCACTACCATAGAGCAGAACGGCCCTCACTGTGGCCTTGTATACACGGCCTTTCAGACGGAGTGAAACGCCATTATGTCGCTAAAGATGCCGCAGGTTCAAGAAGGCAGCTCTGGCTTTTGCAATGCGTGAGCTGACGTCTGTTTCTATGCGCCCATCATTGCTGATGCAGCTGCCAAGATAAGTGAAATGATCTACCACCTCGAGTTCCTCGTTAACAAGCGTCAAGGGGTCATCAAGTGGCTGGTGGTCCTGCAGCAACACTTTGCACTTTGAAGGTGCCAAGTACGTACCAAATAATGGGACCACTCTAGACAGGCTATTCAGGGTTGACTGTGCCACCCCAACATCGTCGAAAAGCAAGACGATATCGTCTGCATAATCTAGATCAACTAATCTTTCACCAGGCAGCACTTCAACGTCTACATCGTTGGATTCCGTCAGGGAACACTCCATGATAGAATCCACGACGAAATTGAACAAAAAACGGGGAAATTGGACAACCCTGACGAACGCCACTTGTAGTCGAAAAGCTATCCGATAGGACACCATAGACCCTGACGCGGCCTCTAGTGTTCGAGTGTAGAGCACGAAGGATGTTCACATATTTCGTGGGAACACCTATCCGCGCAAGTATTTCGAACGGAATCGATCGATCGACTGAATCGAACGCACTCTTGAAATCGAGGAACACAGCTATTGTTGGTCTGCGGTATGCGTGGTGCTGCTCTAGCACCTGCCGCAAAGTGAATATATGGTCTATACAGCCACGTCCTGGGCGAAAACCGGCCTGCTCTTCCCTAATCCGAGATTCCCGTTCTGCAGTGAGGCGACGAACGATAATCGAGGCCAGTAATTTTGTCACAACTGGCGTTAGGCTAATACCCCTATGGTTTGCACAGTCTGTGCGACTGCCCTTTTTGTATAGTACCACCATAATCCATTCGCTCCAATTAGCCGGGACACTCTCTTCGTTCCAGATACGTTCGACTAGGGAGGTCAGTGCTTTGCAGAGGACCTCACATCCATCCTTAAATAGTGCAGGTGGGAGGGAATCCGGGCCAGCGACACGAAAATGATTGAGGGCTGTGATCGCGTTTCGGACCTCGGCCTCCGACGGAGGCTCTAAACTAACCGTCCATGGCTCGTCCTGCATCACCTGAGTAGGAAGAGGTCCGGGAGCAGGGGGCCAGCTGAACTGATCTTGAAAGTGTTTAGCCCAACGAGCTATACGACGTTCTTTATTGTGCATCAGCGCACCCGCACTGTCTCTGATTGTCTCACTGACGCCTGGTTTTCTGGGACCAGTGGTGCGTATTAGCTGGAAGAGCTTCCGGTAATTGCCTACTGCCCCTGCCTCCTCCATTTCTTGAGCCCGATTGGTCCACCAGGCTTCCTTGTCAGCACGTAGGCTCCGCTTTATTTCACGCCTAATAGCCCGTCTGGTCACATTGTGTTCAGAACCAGCCGGGAGGTGTCTTCTAGCTTTCAACAAGTTCACGGACCTCTCGGATATCCAGTGACTAGT